AGAATGATGTGATGTGATGAGCATGGGATCGTCGACTATTCACATAGTTCGTTTTTGGACGGAGTCAAGAAGACCAAACTGGTATCCAGGTGTTCCGGTCCACAAGTAGTGAAAGCAGTACTCCATAAGGGGCCAGATTTGCGACTTGTACAATAATATCTCGGAGTGAAATGCCGTTTTGCTCGATTGAGCACCCCGAGCGTTTTAGACGCCAGCTTGATCCTATTTTCAAGATGTCCCAAGAACTCTATAGTGCTAGAGATGTCAGCACCGAGAATCGTCAGCGATGGTGACGGATGTGTTTTGAAATTGTGTTTTTTTTTTAGTCTTACACGGGTTAAATTGGCCTGAGTTCAGTCGTCCTCAATTGAAGACTTCAATAAGAGTACTCTCGATTTCATCTATAATATTAATAAGGTAAAAGGATTTATATGTATTTGTTGGTTCCTTTTAGTGTCTTAATGCCTCGACCGATCGTCATGAAATCTGGTGTACACGTATTTTGGATGGAGAAGTATCATTCTCTAGGTTAGTATTTGCCCCAGTCAATCAATGCCTATACCTATTCCGGGCACATGGACGAAATCGAAGGCAAAAATTAGTGGGTATATAAATGGATCCATATCAAAATTTTAGGATACGGATTAAAAAGTATTAGAGGTATATTTAAATTGACTGCTATGTACCTGCCTATCATACACTCATGTATACATACACAATCACGCACCACGCACCTCTTCCTCTTGGGGTAACAGTGAGTGAGGATGAAGTCAGTTCAGTTGGCCCATTATATATAACAACAATTAACCATGATGGTTTCCAGAGGGAATCGCGTGGAGGTCGACCTGATAGGGTATGTTACTAGAAATGGGACTTTTAGACCCCATTACGAACTATCTCTTTCCCCCGCCTATCAGCGAAGGATGATAAATCAGAATGAAATCAAGTTGGACTGCCGGAATAAATTCGCCAAGAATTAACTGACAATGCACCCCTTAACAGACTCAGATCCAGATTGTATCTATTGTCCATTATACAATTAAATTAAATACAACTTATTATTACAACTTAATCCTTACTAATATTATAAATGTGAAAACGTGTTTGTTTGTTTGTTACCTTATAGCGCGTTAACAGCCTAATCAATCACTATGAAATTTAGGTATACACAGACTATGGGATGGAGAGGGATGTAGGCTACTTTTTATCCCGGTCAGTAAACATATACCAGTCATACATAATAAGTTATGATTATTATTATTACTACTACTACAGTAAGAATGAAATTGCAGTTTCATATATTCCCAATGGCATAAAAAATGGTCGTAAAAAATATCCAGTTTTTTAACACACTGTTTTGTTGAAACTTGCATTTTACATTTAGGTACATATAAATATGAGGTAATAATAGAATGGTAACTTGGTGGCCTTCACTAACCGGAACGTTACAATAAAAATTTGTTTCAATCACTTCGTATTAATTACTACGTAAGACATTCTGTACAAGTTGACAACTATGTGAGTTACAGAATTTATTTTACTGAACTAGGTATTATTTTGCGGAATTCCATATCGTTGGTTCATTATTTCAGCCGTTGACTGTCCATTGTTGAAGATAAGCCTTCTCCAAAAGGAGAGTTTTGCCAGTAGTTGCCACGCTTGGCAGGCGGAGTAGCAACCGCATTTAGGCTTGGAGATGTTTTAAAAAAGATGCTGTTGTCCATCACTCTACCATTAAGTTCCTTTTGTCGCCTCTTACGACGCAGAATAGAAAAGGGTGGCCTCTTCTATGCCAGAACCACACGAACAACTTACTCATATCATTGGTTATTTGATTAGAATTATTTTGTTTAAATCCGGTACAAATAGCATGTGGGCGACTCTCAAAACTTGAAAATTGGCTATTATTATTATCACTAGAAGTTCTAAAACTCTCCATTTTAGCCATCAATCTCCAACTGCCATTTCGTCCACGCACGTTTTGCGACACGTATTTTCACTTTAAAATAATAGTAGGTATTCAATCTTTGAGTGCTGGCTATGTATATGAGTGAGTGTATACTGTATACTGATGGTAACAAAATTATGAGTAAACGAAATAATTCTAATTAAATAACCAGTTACAAAACTTGGGTATAGAAGCATTGATGAATGAATCAATGCGCGTTAATTCAATGATAAATTGTTTAATACAGGCAAATAAATTGAGATGGTTAGCTTCGTTTTAAGAGAATATTCTGTTAGCGAAACTGAACATTTTCACAACGCCAGCTCTGGGGAAGAGTGAGAGGAGCAGTCGCTCTATCGGTCCCAGAGTGTAAAGGGCACCAAAAAGTCAAATACGAAATTTAACTTTTCAATTTTCAGCGCAAAATAAAGATTTAATAGTGCGTTTTAAAAATAAAATAAGCAGCGCCTGTGATATCGGTAGTATGGAGAGTAAACAATTAATACTTATACTATAAAACACTAGGCCAATACAAACAGGCATAAATACTCATGATTGGTTACTACAAAATTTTGTACTCTGCGGGAATCAAACCCGCAAACATAAGAAAGTAAGGCAGTATGTCAAATCGCTATGACAAGAGTGTAGGTAGATACCTATACGAAACCATTTCAATAATGTTGAGCGCTTATAGCACGTGCTTGAATTAAAATTGTTTTTCAATGCAAGAATCCCCGGAATTATTAAACAGGACGGTGACGATGCTTGGAAATAATGGTGTTTCTTTTTTAACTACTTGTTAGTACGTTGTATATTGTCACGCGACATGTTTACATAATAATTTCTGTGAAAAAAATGTCATTTCTCGTCGACAGATATTGATTCGCTGTATATGTGTATTTGTACAACAGTAAAAGATTATTTTTATACCCAAAGAAACTAGAAACGGGTACCAGTTTACATATTTCTTTGACAAAGAATATACTAATCTTCTATACTTATAAAATCGATTTATTTATACTTTAATGCACAGTGAAATTCTATGTACATTTGGCGAACTTAACATCGAATGGTGTTCTCTACTAATCGACCATTAGGTTTTATCTGTCTACAATCACCACACAGCTAAAACTACTCAAGTCTAGAAAGCTGATAATTTGACATACCTAAGTGAAAAAATAAGAATAATAAAAACTAGGTGCCTACTTATTACAATTGGCTAATCACAGTGTAACTCCAACTGCTATGTGGATGAAGACTTGAACTTATTCCAAGATTGATGATACATGAAGATTTTTTGAATATGTGTTTCTCAATACATCTATATTTATTTTGTATTCTATCCATAGTTCCTTTTGAACAGATTTTAACATATTTTTTAATCAGTTGTGTGACCAGTACTTATCATTAGTCCTTACGTTTTTCCTTTCCATGTTGGTCGATTTTGGGACACTAAATCTCAAATCATTTTTTGTTTGTGTAAGTAACGGACTGTTAAATATATCTATTAGTATATATTTGTTAGTTAGTTAATTAGTATTATATCTATATAAAATCCAGTATGCTTCATTATTGAAACAAGTCATACTTAGTTATATAACCAACCATAACACTTAGTGAAATATGACTCAACTCACATAACTATACTAATGATAAAACTTAATATCCTACATGTTCCTTAGATAGGTTAGATATACTTAATGACGTTACCTGATGTTACTATATCGTCTGAAGATTAGCACATTTGAATACGAGAGAATTACCGGTTTTTATCGCCATCAGATCAATTATATTAATGAAAAACCGCAACAATATCCTAGCGTAGACATTTATTCTCATGACTTTCATCGTTATTTGAATGTTTTGTATTTACAAACAAATGTCCCACAAAAAAACCGACTTCAATTATGACAAAAACTGTTATATAGATTTCAAAACTAAACTACTGAATCGACTTCAATAAAATTTCTATAGGACCAATTTGTATGTCCTTTCAGATAAAAAAAAGAATTTTCCAAATTGATTTAAAACTGACGGAGTTATGAGGTACCTAAATAATGAAGTAATAAAAATAAAAAAAATATACAAATTGAGAACCTCCTTTTTGATGTCGGTTAAAAACGGACTGTCTTTTGGTTGATGCTTTATATCCACTGTTTTGGATATAAAGCATTAATATATCCACTGAATAATAAAATCGAATATCGAAAAAGTAAACCTTATTACGTCGTATTAGTTAGGGTTGTTGACGGTGTTTATCTAAGTTTCTAAAAAATTTTATTATACAGTGTTTTAACATCAGCTGAATTCGAATTCAAGACGATAGATTTAAGTTAGAATAAGAACTTCTAAATGACATTAAATAAAAGAGACCGTTTCGCCATTAAATATTTAGTAAGTTTTGAATCATTTACAAATAGATAGACGCTAATGAAAAAACTAAATAAATCCACAATAATGCGGAAATTAAGGTCACAACATATTAAAAGTATGGTTTCATTGACCATAATCAAGAATATCTATTCATGAAGATACTGGTGGCGACACTATGTTGTATTTTGTAATGGCCCCAGTGATTTCCATCTTTAGACAATGATTGCAATTTTCTGTTAGCTTATTTGCCATTTTCAGTGTAATCATTGGCGTATTTAATATTATATTCCAAGGGAAGTTGGCCTTTTATAAAGGGTACATATGTAGGTACACTCAAATGTTTTCGTGTATAGCTGAAAACTTCCGCGTCCATATGGTTACGCTCCTTCTGGCTCCGAAATAAAAAAGAATTATAAGCATAATAAATAACTGATATTTAGATCAGTCAAGTCATAAATTGCCTAGCTAGGCAATTTTTAGAGTATTACGGATGGGTAAACTTAGTTATTTACCTTACAAAGCTTTACAGTAAATTAAAACTCAAGAGTAAAAAAACATATTCGGTCAAGTAAAGAATAGTACCTACTTATAATAATGACAAATTATAAGTACGTGTAGTTACAAATGGTCAATAAAATATTTCATGTTTTTGGGCAATGGCGGAAAAAGATACAACATATGGTATAATTGAAATTTATTGTTTTTGAATTTTATTCACATCAAAAATAACGACATCGTAAATTTTTGTAATATCTATAATCTTAGAGATTCGCGTCGACATAAAACATTAAAATTTAATATTCTGCTACTTCAACATTTAGGTATATTTAAAACATCCAAAGTAAATACTGATCAAACATTTAACACATAATAATTATCCTAATCACTATGGTATCTAACAACATGGGGAACACAACATCGACATCGGAACAAAGACTGTCATCAAAACTAATCAGGTAATAAAAGTTTTGAAAATGGTAATAACAAACGTAACATAAAATAGCCCTGTCGCGCAACTATACCCTGTATACATCTCACAACAACTCCAATCTACCTCATTCATAAAAATAATACAATACTTATAGATAAATAGTCTCAAAAAAGGATCAAAAATATAACTCTTTAAAATATTATAGAGATTCTTAAGTAGACACTAAGATATTGTTCCACAGCAGAAATGTTTTTACTCAGACTCATAAGTTTTATCAGGAATGTGCATAGCTTATAGCTAAGGATATAGCTATGAGTGTTTAATTAACTTGACACTAAGGTTGGGGCGTCTAACATCAAAAACCTTAATGCTACATACAACATAACAGATATTACACTTAGCACATCAAACACTGAAAATTTTGTTAATAGATATCGAGCACATCCGAGTAACATTGTTCGAGCTGACTTGATGAATATTGTGCCAATTTCATTACAACTAATTATTTATACTTAATATTAAACACATTAATAATAATCTAACATTTCAAATTAATTAATGGCAAGTGATGTAAGTGTAACAGCCTGGTGCAGGTATAATAATGATCTCATATAAATAGACAATATTTCATATCTTTGTATACATATAATTTTAAAGAGGTCAGGGCACAAGTGACCTCTTATAAAATAATTACGCCCCAAAAACAATAATAAAACCATAAAAGTATTTAATAACATAACAACCAAATATAAAATTTATCAACATGATTAAATTTCATAGTTGCGAAATTTAGAGATGACCTCAGATGGGGGTTCTTGGTTTCCACCTCCCCAGCGTCCCCAGAGTGCAGCCCCACCTTCAGAGGCACGTCGAGCTGCCGAGTTGGCTGGGCCCAGGCTGGATGGCCCTGACGCCCGGCCAGATTCACCCTCCAACATGCGATCTTTTGTGTTTGGTTTGGCCCAGTGCATAGACTGTTGTACATGCTCCTTCATGCCAAGCCATTGTTTGTAGCCCATGGCAATACCACTCTGCCTCCATTTGTCATAGAGAGCACGCTTAGAAGGATCGCACAGGGTCTCTTTTGCTTCCTGAAAATATTTAATTATTTTTATATAGATAACAACATGTATAGTTAATATTCTAAATGCATTAAAGAAAAAAAAAATTACAATTGCCTGTAGTGAAGTTTTACATAAATGCCCACCTATTAATAAATTATTAACAATAAACAGTCAACCGGTTTTAAAAGTCAATGTCATATATTAGTAAGTACTTAGTTTACTACCTATTAGGTACTTAATACATTCAAATATCTATTGCAGGTTTTTTTTACATTCAGAATCAACCAGCTAGTTTGATATTTAACTCTTCTATTAGATTTCTATAATTGTTTACTCTAATTATTATATTTTTGCAAATTACACAAACACACCTTTAATTGTTGAAACTTTGCTTCTGCTTCTTTATCCCCATCATTTTTATCTGGATGATGCTGCAAAGCGAGGACCTTATATTCAGCTGTTATTTGCTCGATCTGTAATAAATTAAGAAATATTAACTGTATTCGTGCTGCACGATTTGGTATTTTGTAATAATTATTTACTAGAGTTATTTTACCTAATTAATTATAGCGTTAATTTACGTCTATTATAAACAGTAAATTAAGGAATGTAAAAATAATTGTTATTTTTATGTATTTGACTACGTAAAGGAAAACTCAGTGAAAGGTATCTGGGATTCCCAGCACATTTGTATATAACAATGACGCATTTAATAAAAACCCACAGGTCGTGTTTGTTCTAATCTGATTTGATTAATGAAATTATACTTCCACTGCCTTAATTATTGCATTAAATACACTATTTATTTTACAAACTAGGTCAAATCTTGGAACCTCGAGTCCTCGATCTAGGTAAGGTCACTGATCACTAGAATCAATACTTTTTTTTACAATAAAATTAAATTCAATGCTATTTTTTACTAAATAAACGAATAGTTATACGTACTGTTGAATTTTCGTCACAATTTAGTAATGCGTAGTAATCGTCATCCGGATTTCTTCGATAATTCAATATTTCATCCACACCAGTCATCGTTACGACCCTCCCTCACAAAACCCCAGCAAATACTAAAAAAAAGAACCAAACAGATAGAGACAGACAAATAATTCTATCGTACCCAATCTGGTAACGCTGCACAGATTAACTACGTAGTACAGAGGATTTCGTAAGTAGTGATGTGTCGTTTCGTACTAATTGACCGACGTATTTGTACAGTTCCATTTTTCAATTCTTAAATAATTTGATGAGCAGTATGCACTAGACATAGAAATGAAGGTCACGTATGAATTTACATTTCATAGTTCATTCTATATATTTCTGCTCATTAAATTATATTCTGCTCAATAAAAATAGAATAATAATGATAGGAAAATTTAAAAATAGTCAATTCTGTTTATATTTAATTAAGTTTTACTCTCGACTTCATCCTAGACCGGAATATGTTCATTATTCAATATGTTTCAATATGTATTTATTCAATGTGTATTTAATAAATTTCAATATGTTCACGAAAAAAAGTCAATTTTACAATAATAACTTTATTAAAGTGTTTGTTTTTATACTTTTACATGTAAACTTAACAATCAAATTAAAGATACGGAATTCATTATTACATAATATTTTTAGATATCAATTAATAAATCTAAATATTAAAAATTACTTATTTTTTGTATTAATTAATTTAAATCTACTTAAAGTAGTTGCAAATACAAATAATAAAATAAGTCATCGTATAAAATTTGCATTGCGTTTTAACAAACCGAAATTTTGAGCATCTTCTACGATTCAAGTGAATCAGATTAATTATTCTTTGATTACTTTATATACTTTTTCCAAATAAAATAATTTTTGATATTTTTAAATTACTACATTTTTATTATTTAACTTCTCTACATTTATATTTATAGGACATCTATGCTTGATCTAGAGGTGAGGTTTTTATTTCAAATTAACTAAGTTACTTAATTTTACAAACTTTACTCATGACTTTATATCAATTAGGGACAGTTATGACAAAATATAGTTTAGAACTTTACTATTATTATGGGCATCACTAGCTCTAGACCAAGACCACAGAATATTTCTGCTGAAAGATATAATCTGAGTAAAACGCTTATTACAAGACAGTGCTTCATAAGTTCTATAAAGGTATTTTTCTATAAGAGCAAATATAACGTCTTCACTTCGTGAACGATTTCTGTCAAAATGAAATGGTATTACGGAGCATGATTGTTTTCGAATCGATTGACGGCTTAAATATAGGTTTCTGCGACAGACAGCGCTATTTACAATTTGGTGGCAAAAAAGAGAAATAATAGTAATTGTAAGTTCAGTTCCTAAATCGCTCTACAGAGGCATCATAATCGAGAGCTTAGAGCTAATAGATTTTTTTTTAATATATTAAAAATTGTAATTAAAAATAAAGACTAACAACAATATTCAACTTACGCAACTGTTTGATACATAAATTTAGTAGCTGTGTTTGATATTAAAAATTATTTAGTGTGTTTGCACGACTGTGATTGAACTAAAAATATAAGGTAGGCATTGAATAAAAGAAAAAAATGGCGGGAACTCTGAAAATTAGTTTTTTTATGCAACGTAGAATGGCCAACAAGCTAACGGTCCACCTGATGTAAAGTAATAACCATCGCCTATAGACATGAACAGTACCATGGACATTACAGAGTATTTTGTTTCATCCGTGATTAGTTTAAATTGAAAAACTATCGTTTGAGTATACATAAATACATCATCATCATCTTTTCAGCTTTTATCCGTCCATGGTGCTATCCCTTTCCGAAGCCAGCTTGTTCGGGTGGCTGGAAGTTGTCGAGTTGTGAATATTGTGAACAGCTATTATAGAACTTCTCACTTAAAATCTCACATGTGGCGGAAATTATATCACCGGTGTCGGTCTTTAAATTTGTCAGTTGGCTTCGTCAAATAGTCAAATCTTTGGTGAACATTTTGGAGCCTAAATGCGCAATGGAACAATGCATAATTATTTGTTAGGATTGTCTATTATATATGACGCTGGAGAAATGGTCCTAAAGACCGATTGCTATTTAGGAACAGAAAAAATAGAAAGAGATAGACATTATTCTTAAATTAATAACTAACAACAATAATGATGTTATAGATGTTCAATTTTCAATTTATATAGAATTTTTGTACACTTTTAAAATTTATCAATTTAAATATCTTTTCAAACCACAACATATTAGTATTTATTTTAATAGTTGGCAAAATAACAAAAAACGACTGTCAAATATCCATATAATTTATAGTTCTTGATTGCACTTTTTTTTAAAAACATTGTAGGTCTCAAACGCTTTGCTAAATAACCGGCACCAAAAAATAGTTTAAGTTTTATTTACTTTTTGAATATAAGTAGAGATACTAAAATGTGATAGTTATTACTCTTCTTCTTTTTTTCCTCAATAGCCTCTTTTTCTAATTATATTTAATTTATTAAATTCTAATTCTGCCGCCATTTTTACGAACAATTCTGCCAGCGTCTTGTACAAGAGATAAAAATTATATCCAACGATTATTATTATCTTCGCTATGTTTCGTATCTCGTTTCGTTATTTTAAAAAAATTTATCCTCGAAAACTATTATTTTTGTACCTCACAATCATTTTATTCAATTTATATGCATGTCATTTTTCTAGTTATTACTCAATAAGTTGTAACAATAGAGTCGATTCTGAGGCATCATTTCTCTAAATTCATTTCTAATTAAAATGTTTAATATCATAGCGAAATCTTTATTGTAAGGATCAATATTAATTACTTTTCTAATAGATAAGTCTAAAATAATAAAATAAAACTAATAAATAAGTATAAATAGATTTAAGTCACAATTATTATAATTTTTGGTTATGAAAATTATTCATAAAACAGTAATTTCGCGAAATTATGAAATTAAAATAGCTAAAGAGATAAATTTAGAGAAATGACACCTCAGAATTGGCCCTATTAAATTAAAAAATAAATATCTGATGGAAAATAGTAACTGTAGCCGAATGGCACCTTGATAGTCTTTGAATATACTGTGATGCGAATGGTACTCCACATTGCGTTGCCAAATGTTGATTTAGAATTAACGTTACGTTATTGTGTAATGTTATACATATATGGTGTACAAAAAAAATATAAACGAGTTGGTGATTCCTCATTTTAGACATTGCTTACAAATAATATAGGTATGTTAATAAATAATGAACACTACTAAACATATTGCACAGTGCCATCTAGTTTCAAAGTAAGCAAAAAGTTCTAAACAACTTATACAATATTTTTTTTACGTCAGTGAGCTTGGAGTGCTTTCAGCATTTACCCATGAAAACATGAGGTGAAGCTGTAAAGGTCATCTGTAGCCAACAGCAGCAGTTTAAAAAATATATGATTATATATTATAGAATATGTGTTAAATTAGAAAATAACTAACCGTGTACCAAATTTCATTGAAATCCGTTCAGCCGCTTTAACGTGCATTATTGGTAGATACAATCATCTAAATATATCATACATACATACATACATCTTTACAATCGTTTACATTTATAATATTTTATAAATGTAAACGAATGTAAATGTAATAAGTAGGATAGAAAACTTCCAGATTAATGTAAATACACATAGGGATCGAACTAACGATCATAAGCACGTGAGGCATATGAGACAGTAAGGTCGTCGTCGATATAAATATATATTTTAACGTGTAGGTAGATATTTGTATGCTTGTGTAGGCACTGGAGAGTTTAAGGAAGTACCTACCAACGTCAAATGTAGTCAGGACGCGACATTACCATTAAAAATCCATTAAATACGACTTACACGGGAATTATCTTAAAAATATTAGGTTTCTCAATAGACAGTAAGTAGGTACGTACCTATCAATTATCTGTAGTTAGATATTACAACTATAAACGTCATCGTTCTGTAATGTGAACACATCCGAGTGTGCCTGAAGAGTTAGTTATTGTTAACACATTCAAGTCAACGATTAAACATTATTTGTTAATTACTCATTGAACGCGCATTCTTTGGACAATAGGCATTTTATTTTTCGTGTTAGGTACGTATAATTATTACGGTAAACAGATCGATGACATTTATTTTTTTATCAAAATAAAGTTTTGATATTCATTAAAAATTATCTAATCATGGTCAGCCATCCAATGAACAAAGATCTCTCTACGGTCTAGACGATATCAAAAGGTACCTACCCATGATTCACTCTACAAATTTTAATTAAACATTTACCAACTACAGTTGAACTCATGCTCATACCTACTGAATTATAAAATTTCCCCCATAAGGGGGGTTTTGACAGTAGGTGGCATGCTTGACAGGTGGGTTGGCAACCGCAGTTAGGTTTTTGGTGATATTTTAAGTGGTACGCTAGTGCCCATTCCTCGATTATAATGTTCTCTTAGTCGCCTCTTACGACACCCACGGGAAAGAAATGATTGGCCTATTCTGAACACAACATGCAAGAAACTCGACGGTAAAATAAGGTGTTCAAATAATTTCGAAATACAAAGTCGTATCGTAGTGATCATTCCTATGAGAATAGTAATGTCGTGTGAGAAGTGGGAAATCATATCGATCAGCGCGAACACGAAGGCTGACGACATTGCATATTCCATGCATGCTCTAGACATTGGCGTCCCAACGCGCTTTTGCATCAAAAATAGCTCCGAAGACGCGCTAAACGTAAGTTTACGCGACTCACCGGCCTCTCCGGCCGTGTTTTTGCTCGTTCTAACATTCTGACTTTGTGTACGATAATTGTGAAATTACATCGCTGAAAACAAATAGTTGTTGCTATGTTTTGGTACTAGAGGGGCCGATAATGCTGTCAACGAACTAGTCACTCGAAGATCCACCATCTTTGGCAGCGGAAGTAACAGCGGATGTCCCGGCAATGGGTAAGCGGGTGCCATATGAATGCTTAACAACAATGCTCCGAGCTCGTACAACGTTCCCACATTTCCTATTCGAGCCGTGTCTTCGCCGAAAGTTTGTCAACCTTTAATTTTTTGTTGAGATTCAATTATAATTGCCTCTTTGTTAATGTACCTACCTACTATGTGATTCTATTCATTCAAGAACA